GTATATATATATATATATATATATATATATATACACACACACACGTGCACATGTACATATACGTATGCATATAGTGTCCGTATACACAGCCGTTCCATCCAGCTTCGGAAGAGCGAGTCTCATTAATCGCGGCTCAAACACGCCTGGAGAGAGCTTTAAAGCGCCCATCGATCGTCCTCGCCGTCCTCGCTCCAAATTCGCTATAGAGCGAGACAGACGGAGAGACAGAACTTTCTCCCGAGAGTCAAGTGCTAAATAGGACACTGCGATGTTTCCGCACTCGCACGAGACGCACCGGACATCGCATCGAGATTGGGGTGTAAACTGTATTACAGGTTCCTGCGACTAACTCGAATTTTTGGTCGCGAGCACGAGATTTCATTCTTCATCGATCCTACGATTTTTTACGGGATAGAGGAAGAGAAATTCTCGATGCGTTATCCGAAAAACGTATCGCTCGGGGTGCGTCCTACTTCCTTCCCGTCTATCGAACGGCACGATGACGTCTGGGAAGCAGTGCGCTCGGGAGAGGACGTCTTCCTCACGACAGGGTGAAGATCGAGGAGGCGCGCTCCTTGGATCCCTCCGCGGTGTCTATGGCGCTCCTGCGACGTTCCGGTTCCGCGACGAGCAGCACCGGGTTCTTTGGCGGGCTGTTGTCGTCGCTGTCATCCGGCAGGCCGTAGTCGGTGCGGCAGGCGAACGCGACGCTGTTCGCTCTACGTCGCGTCTTGACCTTTAACGTCGCGCCGCCGCCGACCTGATGCTGCTGCTGCTGCTGCTGCTGCTGCTGCTGTTGCTGCTGCTGTTGCTGCTGCTGTTGCTGCTGCTGCTGCTGTTCTTGCAGCTGCGTCGTCAGGCCGCTGCTTACGCGACTACCGCGTCTCGGTATCCCGGTCCACGATTTCGTCGCGGTGCTGGATGGAACGGCTCGCTCTCAGTCGCCCCGGTGTCTGACTTCGATCGTCGTCGCCGTCTCGACGCTGGTGGACCCGCGCTCGCTCGCGGTCGAGTCGCCTGGTCATAAGGGCGCGAGGGTCTTGCCACGTCGCGCGAGACGACTCTCCAGCCACAGGTACGGCACCACTGCCAGCAGCAAGGTCACAGCGAGGCCCAGCACGCGATAACGGGTGCAAACCGCGCCGTGCAGACTGAGCGCGAAGGTCAGGCCGAGCCAGCGCCAGAAGAGCGACGTTGACAGCGGTGCCTGCCACGCGTTCGGATACAAGCCCATCACCAGCGCTGAAAAAAAAATCAAAGGTCGAGGAGTCTCCCCTTCGGTTTTCGGTTCACTCACCCAACTCGCATTCGCGTTCGTTTCTTCGGTACCGATTCGTTACCGAATATAAATTTTTAACGAACGCGTATAAATTAAGAAACATTATACTTATATTTTTAGTATTGTTCCTTTTTATTGCTCTTTCTTTTCGCGAATAAAAGTGTGTCTCTTTTGTCCCGTTTGCTTGCTCGTTAATGTTCGTTTTGATTTTGCTGTTGTACAAATTGGCGAATGGCGCCACGAGATTTCGACGAGATCCAGACGCGAGCCGACAAAACGGAGATCACTTTCAAAATTTGAGTTAAACTTTGCAACGTCGAATTCGCAGTCTCTGCCATTGATTTAACTCGCTTCGAGTTGCCTTTGCTTTGTCTGAGACAAGATCAAACGGAGTACTTACTGTATATCAGAGTCTCCCAGATAGAGTTACAAACCCCCCAGGCAGCTGATATGACGTGGAAGAGAGCCGGATCGTCTCCCGTTGGTCTCCAAGTGACCAAAACAAGTAGAAGACAGGCGTGAAAAGCAAAACCCACGACTGAAACAAGAAACAGAGTTTCTTCTGTCTCTGATTCGAGAGTAATATATTCGAATTTAGCATATACGATCGGATCAATAACCTTTATATATCTCTATATTTAATTGTAAACTAATTAAAATTTCACTTTTTTTATTTTTTCCTATCTTAAACTACCGTACTACCACATTTTTTTATTCATCTCTCATATATTTTACATCTCGATTCGTTTTCGGTCTTACATTCTAGAATGTCGCATTCGTCCATTTTGTTCTATATAATTATTATCAAATAATTAGCCGATCGTGTACTTGATTATTGATTTTTGATATTAGGACTTTACTTACCCACTACAAAATACCTCTTAATATGCCTTAGCAACATCGAGAGCGTTGCAGCAGCGAGAGCTTGCAACAGGGCCAAGCTTAGGAAGCTTAAAGTCACTGTATCAGCGCCGCCTAAGGCGCAAAACACGTACGCCTGCATAAAACATGATGCTTTAATAGCCACTCAATTTTCAGAAAACATGCAATGCCAGTTTAATGCTAATGTAATCTAAGAAAATTTATAGACGTTCGCTTGGCGTGGTTGCGCGAATAACACACAAATCCACTGTCCACGAATAAAGAAAGGTGAAAAGTATTTTTTTGACTTTCGAAATAAATTGAACAATTGAACTTCTTTAAGACTTTTTCTTCTCTCAATTTCAGAGAGGTAGATTCATCGAATTAAACTGAATTTCGAAAATTTCGAGCTAATTAATTGCAATATTTCGTCGATAGACGCTGTTAAATAAAGCGAGTACAGTCTTTTGAATTGAATTCGTCATTTACCTCTATAAAATCGGCGTAGATGAAACCCTGCTCCAATCCGATGAAGAGGGTAAGCGGCGTCGCAAGTTGAAGCTTTGGATCTTGAAACGCACATTTCACGGATTTGAGGATGTCCTTGACGCTGGCGCGATCGTGGTTCGCCTGGGGTTCCTGCAGCCTCGAGTCAAGGAAGGCGCAGGATATGCCCAGACCGAGCACCGCCAAGCCGAGCCAAATACTGACGAGAATCCTCGACGTGCCTGTTGTGATCGGCACGTAGAGCGATTCGTTGTAGAAATATACTTCCTCCGCACAGTATTCGGCCCCGCAAACGTCTCCCATGTCGCTATTCATTATACTAGATGGTATCAGATCCGTTAATCTGACGATAATAGCGGCGATGAGACAACCTGCGATCACAAAGCAACTTCGAGTTCGCTTTAAGTTAAGAGAAAAATGTGTGTCCGCGTGTACAAATAAAAAGTTGAAAGATGTTACGGAGGAATAATTAATGTAAATGCGTATATTAATTATTGTAAATATATGGACAGGATAAGAAGTAAAACATTTAGATACGCAACGTCAAATTAAAATTATACTGGCAAAAGTAATCAAATAAAAATACTTGAAATTATATAATATACTTGACTGGTATGTATAAAATTTTTATATAATACACTAAAATGAAATTGAGGAAAACATTCGGTTGAGATGTACCGATTGCGAGGCCGAAATCCTCAGCCAGCTTGATTCCTCGATTAAGCCTTCTCAGCAGACACTCTCGCCGCGTCTCGTCGGGATCCTCAGGATCGGCGCAGACCAGCGACAGGCTCGTCGCGGACATGTTGATGTGCGATATCCTCGCCAGAAAATTCGAGCTGACGCAGCAGCCCAGCATCGCGTAGCTGGGCGCGAGTATGTACCTGGCGATGCGCAAGAGAGATACGGTGTATACGCGTATCTTTTAAATAAAACATTTACTATTGTCTATCCCAATTCTTTTGTCAAATCGTATCGTCGGGTCGGTATATGTCCGTAAGCTTACGTTCCCGATTCTCTTTATCACACAGTCGACGACCAATGTGACGAATACTCGATTACTCACAAACCGACAAGTTTTCACGAAAATTCGGTAGTAAAAACGGGATAACAAAGATACTTAACGTGGTGTCGTACCACTTGGGGTACAGATGCATGCCGACGAAGATAGCGGTGACCACGTGGCTCGCGGTGATGGCGAGATTCGTGCCGAGCCGTTGCACGACGATGGGCGCGAAACAGCTGGTGGCGGCTGCCATCGCGAAGAGCTGGGCAAGGAGAGCGGGACCCATTCGGGGCTCGAACGCGCCCAGACCCGCCTGCAACGGGAAGATGGGCAGCGTGGCGGCCGAGCAGCTCGCGTGGCCGAGCAGAAGGGCCGCGATGTGGCGCAGCACCGCCTTACGTGGTGGCCTGGGTCCAGACGGGGCCGCGCGAACCGCCGCGATCAGACGGCGCACCGACGACGCGCCCGCCGACGAGTTCATGGAGTCGCGTCGCCGCCAGGACAGCGCCGAGGTGCGGGTAGATCGGCAGGAGATCGGTGAGTACGCCGCCATGTGCTGCAAATGTGGAGAGAAACGTGGGATATAAGAAGACGGAGGGAAGAAGCTTTTCTTCGCGTGGCGTGACTCGGCGAGACACTCCGGCTGGGCTACTTAAGAGCCCAGTTCTGACCAGCTTCTGGGGAGCTACAATTGTCCGCCGCGCGCGGATGAAAATTAGAAAAAAACGGTAAAACGCTCGCGGGGATAACGCTCGAGCAAATACGCGCATATCACGGTTTTTTTTCCATTTTTTTTCTTAGTTTAGTTCTAGCTTCAGATTCAGATAAGCGACAGTTACATCGCGCTCCCAGCGACTCGATTATTCGTACGTCGCCTAATGTAAAACCTCGAATCCTAATCTCGGCCACTAGGTCGGTCTAATCTCTTCTTAGCCCAACTTTTTAGCCAAACTTCTCTTTCTCTTCTTTCTTTCTTTTCTTTCCATGACAGGACAGGAAAAGAAAAAAAGGAAACGAGACTGTGCGAGAAGTCCAGCTGAAAGGAAGAACGGACCTATTATCAAAATCATCTGGAATTTTAAGATTTAAGATTTAAGTCCAGTTAAATCTTTCGAAATCAACGATCGATCTATGAGGATCGATCTATGCGTCATCGGTCACCTCCAACATGGCATCGTTGTCGCCCAGAGTAGAGTGATGATGCCCGCTACTTCTCGCGCGTTTATGCGTGTGTGCCAACGGCGGTGGCTGCGACGGCAATCGTATCGGACCGTGAGCGTTGATCGGCGCCGATTTGTGCGTCGGGCTCCCTAGCTTGGACAGCTCGTGAAGATTCGGCAAGGAACCCATCCCGCCGCCGGCTTCGGTTTCGGTCGTTTCGCGATTGCTCGATTGTAATGCACCTCCTCAGTCCGTGCTATCAGTCCTCTCGCACGATCTCATTACGGTTGGCATTAGCCGCCGTCACGATCGATGCTCCTCTCATCTGCGAGTCGGTCACCTAAGTAAGAATAAGGAAACGGACTTTTCATACCAAACGCCATAATGAGATACAGAGACTTCGCGATACACATCTGGAAGTATTAAAATGACAATTATCCATTTCCACAAGGATCTCCTTCGGACGTCAGATAAGGACGTCGGCTAACACGAGATTACCGTCTCGCGGTAATTCAATTGAGCGATACTCGGTATTCGTGCTAATTACGCGAGATGGAGGAAAAAAAAGGGGAGAGAAAAAAAGGAATGGAGAATAAAAATCCGTAGCGGTCACCCGCGCAGCCTTGAACGAGAACTTGCTGAGCGAGCTAGCCGTCGGCATAAATAAGTGAGACGTACGGCCTTCGTCGAACGGCTTCGTCCAATCGCGGTGATCGACGATCGGTGATCGGCGACCGCCGATTAAAACTGGACGTCCAAGACGAATGTAAATTCGCCCGTGAAACGGGTACACGATTCGCGTCCATTCGCGATTTTAATTCCCGCCTCGGCGGGAAGGGAAGATAAAAAAGAGGAAACGGTACACCGGAGCGTGATCGCCGTGCGACACGCTCGTTGCGAATACGTTGCGATTGTTATCTGCTTACGCAACGAGCGAGAGCTCGTTGTAACACCAGCACCTGTTTTACAGCACACATACACACACACACACACCTTCCCAGCAACACACGCGCGTGGGACCCCCGTTATCAGACCATCGGTAATTAGAAGCGATCGGATTTATTTCTTGCCTTTATTCTGGTATTCTAATTTGTAACTGTCAGATCCTTGGATTAGCACATTTCTCATGTTTTCATTGAGCTAATGAGGAAACTCTTAGATGAGATCGAGACAAGCTTTTCTAGCTGTTGCTCGCAAAACAATGGAATTCCAATGGCACGAATTGGCGTAGCCTCGAAAACGAGAGAGCCGATTAGCCTCGTCTGTTCTCCGTTTATTTCCGCGTTAGATGTGACAAAGCGATGCGAGATGAAATCCTCGCGGATCTTTGTTCGCGGATTTGTTGACGTTATTCGAAAATAAAATTCTTCGACACGCAAGAGTTCCATTTCGTGTGACTTGTTATATTCGAGTACAACAATCCACGAGTAGCTTTCTCGAAAAGCGTTTGTCGATCGAGGGTCTCTATTGAAAGAAACTTTCAGAGAAGTTATGAGAAGTAGTAATAAGTACTCTCAATCTCGCTCGGAAAAGTCGAACGATTTACGATCGATCGATTACAATTTTTGCACGCCGGCCGATTATGAATCTCGTTTGATCTCGTCGATTTTCCGTAATTTTGACGCGCGTGCCGCATTGTAAGAGAGTTTCGATGGAAGCTGGAACTCTGACGCGCGACGGAAATTTATCGAAAAAAAACAACCTGCGGCTAGGTGGGTGTAGCCGGTAAACCGAAGGTGAACCAGTTTTCGCAGATAAAATTGTATATCTAACGGCAATGCATAATTCATGATCTCGCGGAATTCGCGGGAAATCCGGGACCAGGCGGGAAGAAAAAAGAAAAAAAAAAAATAACAAAATCGACAAATTACAGCGGATTTCTCCGCTATAATAAAATTTCTGAAAACAAAATGGTCAATGTTTCCAACTCGGATGCGAAGAGAGATCGGGATGATGGAGACGGCGAGGAAGATGGAAGGCGAGGGGGAGGGGGGGAGTCGTTTGAGTTTCTTTGGGGGGAAAACGAACGTTCGCGGGTTATACTCCTGGTTATACCCGCCGTCGAGTGCTCTGAAAAAACCCGACGGTCGCGCATTGGGGCTGCATGCATTCTGTGTGCGATATTCACTACGTGGATGCTGAATGCATCTCGCGGCGTTGCAACGATGTGCGTCACAGGGGAAAATGCGGCTGATGCGGCACGATGCTGAATCGATATTTCGTTTTTCAGCACTGTCCGCGCTCCTGACCTTGGCTATTATTCTCGCGTCGGCCCACGTAACGTTAAAGCTGCCGATAATTACGTGGGTTTGCGCCACCGGACTCAGATAACAGATAAGGTATGAGACGAATGAGAATAGAAAAAAAAAAAAAAAAAAAAAGAGAATAACTACAAGACGCGAAGCTCATTACTTAACGAGATCCTAGGCAGACTCGACAGCCGATGGAAGAATTAAACGATCGGATTTTATTTTCCAAGCCAATTATAAATTAATTTCGATTAATTAAAAACAACGAACAAGCTTGATAAT